TGTCCGTTCTAGGACGTCCACGCGTACTTCTCGTTTTTGTGCCCAAGAGGCCTCCACGCAGTTGAACGGCTCGTACATAGAGTTTGGGCAAGACCATTTCGGGGTTGAGAAGCCATTTGTGAGATTCAGGGCATTTTGTTGACTCAGTCAAACCGTAACCATCCGCCGATGAGTGTAGCTGTTGTGCCCAGCTTTCATGGGCTTCTTCTATTGATGTCACTATTTGTCTATGGGCCTGCATCGGAAGGTTGCAGATCCTAAGAAAAGGTGTGAAGGTTTCGGAGGACGCGATGCTCCGTATGAGCGGATTCCTGTTGTTGAGTAGTGCCTCGATTCTTTTGCGCCTATGAATCGGAATCGTTGTAGAGAGATTCATAATTCCCAGGCCTCCCTTTTTGATATCCGCGTGGAAAAATGCAGTTGGAGTGTCTTTCGGGAGGTGAAGCCAGCGGCGGACAGCTGCACGAATAAGTTTGTCCATCGTTTTCAGGGTATTCTTGTGAGTGATGCTGAGAGTCAGTGAATATAGTAGACGAGGAATCAGATTGTTCTTCAGGATTCTCATTCGTTGATGTGGTTTAAGGGGGGCGCTTTTCACATTGTCTAAGTATTTGTTGAGGACGCCGACATGATCGAAGCAGCGCCTGCCTTTGTAATTGAAGGGAACACCCAGATAGGTAAATTCCTCTGTTGGCGAGATGGCTGGAATTGACAGGCAGTTGATATTGAAGACAGTAGGAGAAAGGGCAACGATTCTACGCTGTCTGTCAGCGACTATGTTGATTGTGCGGCTTTTGTCGACGTTGATCGATAATCCCGCCAGCTCCAGCGAGGCGGCGATACAGCTGAGTTTGTTTTGAAGAGCCGCAGCATTTGGAGCTAGGATGATGAGATCATCAGCATATGCTATGTAGTGCAGAGGATGACCATCGACGTAGATGGGGTCATGGGCTTCAAGAACATTGAGTATCTCATCCATAGTCATGATGAAGAGAAGCGGTGACAGAGGGTCACCCTGTTTGACTCCTCGTGTTGGGTGACAATTCACTTCGTGGAAGAGACTGTAAGAGTTGGAGTAGTAGTTTGTAAGATATTCTCTAAGCATTGGGGGCGCACCAAAACTCTCAGCCACCCTTAGAATTGTTTGATGTAAGACGCTGTCGAAAGCTTTCGAGATGTCGAGGATAGCTAACGCGCAACTTGTGTAGTTGGAGTGCGCTTCTCTCAAGATGGCGTGAAGTAGATTGGTTGCTTCGAAGCAGCCATCACGTTGCAGGAAGGCAAACTGTAGTTTTTCCATTGGGAATGATCTGGACCATCGCTTGGCGATAATCTTGTGCAAACAGCGCGTAACAACAGAAGTGATGGAAATAGGCCGGAAGTCGGTAGGGTTATCGGGATGTGATGTCTTCGGAATGAAGGTGACCCTGGAAGCTGACAAAGGTGAAGGTAAAAAAGACGTCAGCAAAAGAGTGTTAAAATACCCAGCCAGACTAGAGGGGTTGATTTTCTGGAGGTCCCTGGCGGATATGCGGTCGACACCTGCGGCGGATTTGACCATTTCTTTTAGTGCCCATTTGATCTCTTCAGTTGAAACTGGGGCGACCAAGTCGTTGTTAGTTGGAAGGTATTCCTGAACCGGTCTAGTGTCTGGTAGGGCTGGGCGTGTGAAGGTGTCTATCCAAAATTCATTGAAGCCTCCTATACTGGAAGGCTGACATGTAAACGGGTCTCTCCATCTGCCATCAAGTACCGTGTTTGCAGCGTCTTTCGGAGAACGGTGGAAGAGCGTTTGCATGTGGGCATATAGAATGCGTCGCCTCTTCTTGTTGTTTAAGTTCGGTGGGAGACCGGAGACGTATCGCTGCTTGGATGGTTTCCATTTTGCAGGGAACAGTTGGTGGGCCTGCTTATCCAAAAGTTGACGTGTCTCCTCAAGAGTAATATCATTCGCATATAGTTGCATAATAATTTGTCGAGTGGATTCAGTGTCCAGCCGCTGAGATGAATTTGCCAGTTGTGTGCTGATGGCAGCCAGGAGGTTAGCGTGTATATTGTCCATGTTGAGGCTTCTATGAAGTGGCAGATTCACCAGGGGACTTGAACCATCTTGAGTGAGTCGAGTAGTTGGCAGAAGTGGACGGATCATTGTCACAGCAGTGGGAGAATATAAAATTGTTCTATCGACAGTACTTATTGCATAGTGGTACTGCGGTATTCGCATTGGTTGGGTGGACTCCTCGCTTACAGTGCAATCATTATTAATGACAGCCAATTGGAGGGATCGCTGTTCTTCTAGCTGAGTTGGCGTACAGGAATTCGATGAGATCGTGATAGCTGGATCTGAAGTTGCTCTGCATGGACTTATAGGAGCAGAGATTGATCTGTTGACGGTGAACGTATCAGTGAGCGAGGTAACTGGCTGAATTTGGAGATAAGACGTATTTGGAGTTAGGACTATTGTTGGCAGAGATGGGTTGAGTGTACGTCTCCATTTTAGCCTGGCTAGACGTAGTCTAACTGCATCAGTGGTGCGGTTGCCAACGGCTTCGGCGACAAGAGCGAAGAACTGTATAGGCGCAAGTAAAGGTGAATCGAGACATTTGGCCGTTGAGATCAATCGAGCATCTTCTTGAGTGGACCAGGTTTGAGTTCTTGGACGTACATACAGTGCTGATCTAATAGCATAGTTTTCATGTGATGATGCAGGTGAGGATGGCATCGAGTAGGAGTCAATGGTTGATGCGGAGCGTGAAGATGATGGGACAAATGTTAACCATTTGAGCGTTTGTAGACGGCGTCTGATGGCTTCAACTGAGCGATGTGGCAGATGGTCGTGTAAGTGTTGATACAGTTCAGCTTTGCTGTTGAATCGGTCGACTGCTGCATCTGCTAACATCAGTAAAGTGAGTTCTTCATTTTGGGACCAATTTCGTCGTGTTCGACAGTCGTTGAGGAGGCGACCGAGAAGGACCTCATTGTATTCGGCGGGGTGGATTTGACGCAGATGTTGAGTCAAACCTCTCGGAGAAGCGAAGTTTGAAGGACAGTATATACACAGGAATCTTGGAGATACGATTGAGGATTGGGATTGATTGGACAGCATGGAGTGAGGTGATGACGGATTGGATGTGAGGGGCGAAGGATGAGCTGCTGGCAATTGGGAGATGAAGGAAGGAGAATAGGAGTCTGTTGTTTGAGGGTCAGCTTGAATCATGGCAGAGGCCATGGATTGTGATGAGGGTTGGCTTGACATAGCTGACATGACTGGAGATTGCGGTATCGCAGGCTCGAGTTTGGAGGACAACCAACGATGGACTGTTAGTTGTGCCACGGACCGTTCATAGGCCCTCACCCGTGGCTTGACAAATGGTTAAACCAAAATCAAACAAAGCAAACAAAAACGAAACAAAACAGAAATAAAAACAAACGAAAAGAAAGGTACTGTTATACGATATTCCACGTAATCACTTTGGGATTGAAGCAAAAAGAACGGAAGCCGAAAATGAATGGGGAGGAGGTGATATGAAAGAGTCCTCTTTCGAAAACAATAAGAAGGAGATGCAGCGTGAGAATGACTATCGAACAAAGGAGCACGGAGAGAAGAGTCGAGAAATACCTAGAACAACGGAAGAGGTGAAGAAATGTGGCAGTTACAACACTTCGAGAAAGGCAACGAAATGAGTATGATGATGAGGCAATGGGAGGATGTCGATAATCAAAAGTCAAAACTGTCAGAGATACGGCGTCAAAATGGGTATCAAACTACAGATCTCAATGAGAGGAGTCGAAAGATGCCAAGAACAACGGTAAAAGAGGAAGAAATGTGAAAGTTACAGCGATGCGAAATAGCCAGCGAAATAGAGGTGGGGATGACGTAGTGGAGAGTGGTTACTTTTGAAGACGAAGACTATGGAAGATGGGATGATAATATAGCTTTCAATCGATAGGACTTGAAGAGACGAGCAGAATGAGTACAAACACGGGGGGTGAAAGTAAAAGGGTGCGGAAGTTACAGGGGTTTAAATTTGATAGATGGGTGGGGCGGGATGACGTAATGGGAAAGTTGATGAGTTACAGAATCACAGAAACTACAGGAGATGGGCTATTGATATGGGTATCAATCGACAGGTCTCGACGGGAGGAGTACAATTATACCAAGATCAACTTCAGAATCTGTAAGAATAAAGAATTACGCGGGTACAGAAGGAAATACACGAAAAGGCCACTCCCAAAGCCAACTCGAGAACGATGGGTGCTATGGTGATAAGAATTGCACGAGTCGATTCCTCGTGCCGAGAAACCTTGGGAGGGTCGTCGGGAACCAGCAAAGAAAAAGCCCAGGCCGAAAAAAATAAAGACAAACAAAATATTCAAGAAGAACACCATACACCTATACACCAGCATACAAGCAGGTAGTATAGGCGTGCCCACCAATCAGAGTGGCTGATTAGTAGCTTAGCTCGCGATCGATAAAAAGTGAATAGAGCCTGTGGAAACGGATTTTGGCTGAATTTCGGTCAATGCGCAAAAGACAGCAAAATTACAGTAACTGAGAATGAGTGAAAGTTCGTGCCTGAGGCATAAAATATTGGTCTCAGTAGCAAGTTTGAAAACAAATACCGAAAAGCAGAAAAATGCCAGGACAAAGCGGTTTGCTGGGAATGACAGAGCGCTGAAAGTACTACAAAAAACCGCAGAGTGATCAGAATATGTTGAGGACAACGAGGAGATATTTCAACGTAAACTTGGAAAACTGCGTAAATTTCGAGAGCAAAATTAACGAAAGTTGAGAATAATAGGGCCTATTAGGAATAGAAGCTACGGCGGGATGTGGTGAAATTTGAAGATGTACAGCGAATAGACAGTGCAGATTTATGGAAATTAGATCAGAGGCTCAGAGGGGTGAAAGGGACGAAGGTACAATTAGACAAACAGGGGGAGGATCACAATATTTTTAAAGGTTGCTAAAATGTGGTCGAAAGCTACCCCCCGTTAAAAAGTTTGGGAGAAAGCAAAAAGCTACGGGTTTTTTTTGTAAAAATAAAGAAATAGTGTTGACGATTTGGAATCTGAGATGTATGTACAAGTTTAGCTTTGGAAAGAGGCAGCAGAACTCTCCTGTTAGGGGGATACTATGCGAAGAGGGGGGGCTCACAACTTTTACACAGGCGATAGAAGTATGAGGCTTTTAGGTCTACAGGGTGAAAAATGATGAAAGAATTTATTTTGGATGGTTCATGATAGAGATATTTGGACAGAGAAGAAGAAGACTGAATAAATCAGAAATATTATAGGTGGTATTAGGAGCAAAAGTGGAAAAAGGTCTCGTGGATGGAAATAGAAAGGTAATGACGAGACGAAAAGTGGCCTCGGTCTTACTAGATAGACCAAGGGAGATTAAAAACAAGGACCGGTGTTGTCACTGTCACTAGATCAGAAAATCCTTTGTTGAGTATAAAGTACTTTTTCGGCCGAAATGGCTAAAAGTACCAAAAACAAAATGATTTGGAAGAGAAATGGGCAAATAATGAGGATAAAATAGGTATCAAAAGATTCAGCTCGGCGAGCTGCAACCGATTATTACAATTTCAGAAAGTTAGAGTTAGACGAAAAAGAAATAATAGGTGAAAATAGTGGAAATTCACCGTTTTTCAGTCAGATACTGGAAGTTAATTAGCAAAAATCGTAAGTTGAAGGAATTCCTTGGTAAAAAGTATATGAAAAGAACAAGTCTGAGGACTAGTAACACCGTGTCAAAAATAATGGAGAAATAAGCTATAGTTCAGATGAAACTAACGAAAAAGTAAATTCCGAAAATCAGGGTTTAAGGTAGATTCGGACTGTCACACAATTGAGACGACTGGTGATGAAAACGTCAGATTTCCAGTATAATCAACACTAAGTCAATAAAAATAAACTATTAAGAACAAAATCGACAACTATTAACAGATAACAATCCTCCTATTAGAATAATAGATACTTAAAGGAGGGCAACTTCAGTAAAGGGTGGAGTTCGTTAGAAAAGAAATCAGAACTATAGATATAGCACTGAATAGATAATATAACACGCAAAACTTCGAAAAATTGCACAGACTCACCAAATTGAACCAGATATATCCCATAAAATATACATCCAAAACCTGCAGATGGCAGGGTCAGTGATAACAGAGTTTATATAATACTTCCAAGGAAAAATAGTATCTCACAAGTATTCTTATGTGTAGAATGTGAAAATTTAACAGTTTCCGGTAAAAATTGTGTGTAAATAGTTTGTATACGGTTTGAAAGAATTAGAACGAAAATGTAGCGTCTCAATTCCAATTGCGTGATAGCGTCACTACACCAGCTACCAGTGTGACTTGGCACAGTATGCAAGTAGGTTGTGTCGTTGTTGTCCTTGGGCTCTATGTCCTTATTTTTGTTTTTAGTTTGGTTGCTAGCATGGTTTTGAATATTATTTACCTTAAAGCGTGAGATATTCTTGGGAGTCTGAATATGTTGGGGAATCTTCGCAACAAGTGGCGTATTTCGGCCTGTTTTGTTACCGAGTTCCATTTGCGTTGTCACGTTTTGGTTAAGAGAGGATGTTGTCAGCTTACAAGAGGGATTGATTACCATCTTATGGCTGTCCATAGACATATCTAGATCCACCGTAGAGGGAGGAGAGGTTACTTTAGGAGTAAGACTATAGCTCACAAGTCTTTCGTTTGGTTTCATTTTCTCTGGAGCTATTTTTACGGGATTAGAGAGGGGGGAGGCTATGAGTTCTACCGTGTTGGTAGTGTGTATATCTATTTTAGTGGCTTGAGGTGTCCTGCCATTTGGTTTATTAAGGTGATTGTAAGCACGCCTTTCAATCACTGTCTTATCTGCTACAACTTTTACCTGTTTGTAGCTTGTGTCCTGTAATAGGATACGTTGTGTGTTGGTGAATTTTTTAGCCTCTGTCTGCGTTTCGAACTGAAGGCGTATAGGACAGCAGTGGTCGTGCTGACTCTTCTTCAGTCTGTGACATTTTGTTTGGGAGTTAGGCATTTTCGCCGCCCTAAGTAAGATGCTTTGAACCTTTTTCAACCCCTCATTATCCGGTATATTGTAGACAATCACACTTAGTTTAGTATCAAGTCTTTTGATAACCTCTGTTGTGATGAAGTTTATCAAGGTGTCTATCTTAGATACTGATTCTGTGTCAAGTTCGCCAGGGTTTATGGTCTTAGTCAAGATGTTCAGAGGGGCAAGTTCACAGACCTGTGATTTTATATCACCAACCTGTGTTGATAGTTCAGATAAGTTGGCCAAATTTTCTGAAAATCCTGCATTCATATCTTTTCTACACCTTATGTCCCGCATCTCAGTCTTCAGTTCTTCTACAGCCAGCTTTAGTCGTTCTATTTCTGAAGTAAGTGTTGGAGCTGGACTTGGAATCTGAAGTTTTGTGACACGTACATAGGGTGAAGTGAAGAGGTTTATGTCAGGACCAAGTGCTGAGTTTGTAGAAGCGTTGCTACTGCTGTTTGTCAGCAAGTTTTCGCCCTCAGTTTCAGCCACAGTAGATGGTAGTGAACCGGCAGCTCGACGCTTGCGGCGTATTGGCAAGCTGTGTGCCTCATTTCCATACTTTGTGGGAGTTGTGCTGCTCGTCGTTGCGAGCATATTTATACTATTAGTCATCACGTTGACAGGTGACTGAGTTCGTGGCTTTTTTGTATGACTAACCATAACTAATTAGTGAAAGAGTTATTGGTTAAATTTATGGAACTGGAGAAACACTTGTGCGAGTCTCACAGTTAAAATAGAAATATATAGCGAATCAAGCTAAAATGTAACGCAAACGTTGAACGTACCGCGTACTAGACACACACCCATTCAATTCTATTGTCTGGGCTCATGACCAGCCACTGTACTTGAGGTATTTGGAGAGTTACCCAACTCTTCTCTGCCGTCCTACGTACGGCGGCATACAAGTGTAACTGCATCACTTCTTTCAACAAAACGCCTAATTAGCTTCGCGCAATCACTCGGACACCATTTGCATCACCAAATATCGGATGTGAATTAGTGTTAGATCTTTCATGGGACGGACTAACACATTCGATACGAGCCTGCAGATCATTCTTTCAATTTCAACTCCTCTACGAAAGGGATTTGACTGTCTAAAAGCATCCTCAAATTTATTTTGCCCAACAAAAACTAAACTTATCCGCCGTCGCTCTTTTACGTCTGCCTATATCGAATCCTCACTTATATTTATCGACATCGCATCACACATCCTGAACCACTGCGTGATACCCATTGACCCTGTATTTGCTCACGAATGCCAGATAAGTTTCGCTTCAAGACTTTTGTGATGATTTGACTGCAGCGACTCACACCTGGGAAGCCCCCAGGTTGTGACGACATCAGGCCATCTGTTCTGAAACAGTGTGCCGAAGCTCTCTGTAGGCCCTTATGTGACTTGTTCCAACACTCAATGGAATCGGGGAAACTACCAACGGAGTGGAAAAGAGCCATCCTTTCTACGATCTTCAAGGGCGGGGATCGGCAAAATCCCACTAGTTATAGACCAGTAGCTCTACTCCCAGCGGTATCAAAAGTACTGGAAAGTATTATTGACGATCACATCAGGGAATATCTCGATAAGTCTAATACACTCCATGAAGCCCAACACGGTTTCGGGAAAGGCAGATTACCAACCTACTATCTGCTTGGGACGATTGGGCATCATGCTGGGATATGAATGTTCCAGTCCATGTGGTCTTCCTAGACTTTAAAAAGTCATTTGATACAGTCCGCCATGACCTTCTCCTACACAAAATAAGTCAGGTAGGTATAGGTAAGCCGCTTCCGTCATGGTTGAAGGACTACACAGCTGAAAGGAAATTTTGCACTAAGGTCAATCGAGTCCGATCATCTTGGCACAGCTCGTCATCAGTAGTGTCGCAGGGTTCTATCCTGGGACCACTGGTGTTTTTGATTTTCATCAGTGACCAATTAGCTGCTCGACTCTTCTGTACGCTGACGACGTACAGATATGGAGGGCAATAAAGTGTTCGGAAGACTCAGATAGGCTACAGGAAGATTTAAACCTTCTGATAGACGGTGCGGTGGACAGTGGCATGACTTTCAACCTGAGAAATGCGAAGTAGTGAAGTTACGCACCTGTAGATTGCAGAATGCAAGTTACACCCTGTGCAATGAAAGCTTGTCCTGCACAACGTCGGAACGCGACTTAGGTCTAGTTCTAACGGAAAAAATGGATACAAGCGTAAATTACACGGGGTATGTAGCGAGGGCATATGTGGTCATACACTTTACACATAGACAGTTAGGTGCATTCACTCCTGAGCTCTTTCTAAGGTCGTATAAAACATACATCAGACCATCCCCTCAAGTGCATAATATTATTGCACCCCCACTGCTTAAAAGAGACGCCGACCTCTTGGAAAGAGTCCGACGACGGGCAACAAAAGGAGTGGTTGGTCTCCGAAATAAACCATATGATGAAAGGCTGAAGAAATTAGGCCCACTCACACTTAGCTATCGTCGTCTTAGGGGGGATTTAATTACTGTCCACAAAATAACAAATGATTAGAATCACCCAAACAAAGGTGTTCTGCCATTGAGTAGGTATATGCTCCCTCGTAGAAATCCCAGAAGGATAGATTACCAGAGGGCAAGAACCCAGGTGAGCTCCCACTTCTTTTCCCTGCGGGTTTGTCGTCCCTGGAATTTCTTACCGGCAGATGTAGCTATGGCACCGTCTGTGGACGCCTTTACGCGAAGGCTGGACAACAATGCAGCGACACAAGGACTGCATCCAAATGGCCTATCCCCTTAAAATCACATACACTTTTCAGGGATTTGACAAGTAAATTCATCGTTTAACTTCTTACATTCTCTGACGTCTTACTCTCCTGACAACTTTAACTATGCCTATTATTATTGTTATTATCATTATTGGTGATATATATACATATATATATAAATGTATTGTTCATATTATTCTTCAAATTTAATCAGCTGATTGTCGTTACGTTTTCTTATTCTTTTTCTGTTTGTTAGTCTGAATAACTTCACTAATTATATCTGTTATTATCTCTCTTCTTTTGACGACGATACCGAAGGACCAACTGGTGAAAGGATCAACTCCATTCACAGTAGTAACAGTCTTAAAACACCTCATACTACAAACCACATATAATTAATCCCAGCACTACTCATTTTAGAGTCAACCAAAGCTACAACAGTCGAGTGGTGGGACAAGCTACGCAGACATGTACCGAAGATCAAAAACCTCTACCTCACAATCAAGAGGCGAGCATAAAGAAATCAAATTGGTTCATACTAGCTCGTAAAAACGATATTGGATATTGGATTTGACTGCTCATTTAACTGATTAATATTTTCCTACGTATATCACGTCGCTACTATTTTAACATCGATATTTCCTGTATTATTACATTTAATCACATAGCGCTTAATATTCACGTATCGTTTCTGTCTACAGACTACAGATCCTCGGCCGATTTTACCATTTCTTATATATTCTACCATGATTATCAGTCCTATTTTTCGTTTATTATCGCATTTATTATCGACCTCATTAACCACATTAAGCTGCTCATTTTTCAGCTTCATAAATCGCCTTCAATGTACTATCGCTGCTACGTATTACTCTGACGCATGTTATTGTCGAACACTTAAATGTATTTTTTTATATTTCAGTGTTCTGGTGGGGGAATAATGTAGTACCCCTATACCAACTATTATTATTATTGTATCCTTTAATTCCTAGAGGAACATAGGGCCTCAGCCGTGCGTCTCCACTGCGTTCGGTTCTCTGCTAGAGTCCTCACCTGGCTCCACGTCCACCTACCCACACGTTTTCATCTCCTCTTCACATGACCTCCTCCAGGTCACCCTTGCACTGACGACCAACTCGCCGCTTCCCTTTCGGGTTCCACTCGAGCGATGGCTTGTCTAGCGATGTCACTTGATGGTTTCCTCAGAATATGGCCAGTCCATCTCCATTTCTTCATGCTTATTTGTTGCACAGTCGGTTCCTGGTTAGTTTGCTTCCAGAGATCTTTGTTGCTGATCTTTTCTGGCCATCTGATCTTGAGTATATTGAGCGAAGACAACTGATAATGAAGGTCTGTAGTTTGTTTGAGATGCTTTTTATGACGCGCAGTGCAAGTCTCTGATCCGTATAGTAGCACTGACTGACTTCACATTGGAGTTGAAAATCCGGATGTTATTTTTGATGCAGAGTGCTGTTGACCTTTCCACAAACTTGAGAGTAATGAAAGCTTGTCTTGCTTTCCCGCTCCTCGCCTCGAAATCCTCATCAGTTCCTCCGCCTGTAGTTGAAACGATGCTTCCCAGCTAGGTAGGTAGGTAAAGGAGGTTGTTTCTTTCAGGTTCCTCCCATTTGTACTGATTGTTGTCTGTTGTTGTTGTTGCTGTTGGTGGTGCTGCCCAGAAATCTTCATCACCTCTGTTTTCTCTATGTTCACCTGAAGGAAGTCCTGTCTTTGATGCTTCTTCTGACAACTTGTTGCCTTTCGCTTGCATATCTTCCAGTTTGTGGGAAATCAGACATATATCATCGGTGAAGTCCAGATCTTCCAAGTTTTTTGTGTGAGTCCATTTTATGCCTGTTTCATCATTGCCCGCTGTTTGTCACATTATCCAATCTACTGCAATCAGGAAAATCATTGTCGATAGTAGGCAGCCAGCTTGTCTTACTCCTGTCCTCACTTCGAAGGATTACGTAAGTTTCCCGTTGTGGATCACTTGGCATGCAGCATTGTCGTACAGCTGTTGGATGAGATGTGTAATTGTCGGTGGCGTCCCACAATAGCGAAGTTGTTTCCAAATCACCTCTCGATCAACGCTGTCAAAGGCCTTTTCAAAGTCGATGAAGTTGAGATAGAGAGGTGACTGCCATTCCAAGCTTTGTTCAATGATGATCTGTAATGTGGCGATCTGATCAATGCATGGCTTGTTTCTCCTGAATCCAGCTTGTTCCGGTCTAAGTTTTTCATCCAGGGCATGTTTGATTCTCTCCAGGATGATGCGGCTTAGTATTTTGCTTGGGATGGACAGGAGCATAATTCTGCGCCAGTTGTTGCATTGACTTAAGTCTCCTTTCTTTGGTAGTTTGAATAGGTATCCTTCCTTCCAATCCTCGGGTACTTTGCCTTCTTTCCACACCTTCTCCAGTAGTGGCGTCATCAAGTTCGCTGTTGTCTCTGGGTCCGTTTTCAATGCTTCTGCTGGGATTCCATCTAGTCCTGCTGCTTTTCCAGCCCATTGTTTCCTTTGCTCCATTTCTTTGGTGAGTGACTTTCCGTTGTCATCTTTCACCGGCTTGATTTGTGTCAAACTATAAACGCTGTTTAATCTAATTTACATTCTTATATGTTTACAGAGACCGTGTTGTGCTGCTATATTTTGACTACACTAGCGTACCCGTATATCTTAGTATTTCCTTGCGTTTATAATTGTGTCCTAACGTTGTGATTACTCGACGTCCACAACGTAATTCAAAAGGCACTTGCGAAGGAATACGATGGTGTATTATTGCAGCAATCAAAATTCAAAAATCGAGCGAGTACAAAAAGTATCAATTGTTAACATGCAAGATTTAGAATAATAAACAAATCAAAGTACAATTACACAATGAAAGCATAGTACGATGATGAGTAATAAAACGGGTCACTACAACCGATTTTATATGTACTTCGCAAACATTTGTGAATTTACCGTCGAACATTACCTTGACACAAAATTTTAAAAGTTTGACTTTTGCTATAATACACGATTGTACTCTTCACAAGTG